TAGGAAATGTTTATGATATTTTAGTGTGTAAATTACAAAGTGAAGTATAGGAGCAACTGATAGAGATTTGTACACCAATGAGTGAAATATCAATAATCAAGGTAAATGAGAGGCCATTGAACATAATTAGCAAAAAGCAGCTTACTCTATTGATCACAGTGACACAGTTGTGAAATATGATGTTGGAAAGACAGAATATTTGGAATATAGTAATCACAGGGATAGGAAGTTTATAATGTTGACAGTACAGGTGTCAAGGATGCATTTGTTCAAACAAAAGAATTTGAATCAGCAAGTCTAAACAATAAATAGCCAAATGTCTGAGATGGATAAGATGAAGCGTCCTTTGAATCATGCCTGGTAAAATTTATCATGTCTTGAAAAAATGAGAACTTTCTAAAGAATTGTGAAGCATGACAATTCTGGTTTTTTTGAAAGAGGTGACTAAGGCAACTATTGACCTGAAGTTAGTCCTGATTAAAACAGTAGAATGGCAGATTTAAATTTTTATGGAAAAGTAAAGTCTACTCTGAACATCACAGCATTTTTCTGGGTATTGCTGATTGTTGTGTTTTTATGAGACTGGTTTCAGCAAATATTGCTGACAGATCTCTAATTGTTTTTCTTGTGACTTATTTTTTCTTTTTTAACCCATCAATGTCAATACATGAACTTTGGTTTTCTTTAGGGAATTTGATTTAGTATCACACAGCATTTTCATTTAAAAGAGCTTCTATTCTATAGCACTGGTAGATAACATATTAGATGGATTAAAATATGGGTCACATCATTGATACAGCATTCCCATATACTTGGAGGTTTCAGTAGATTCAGTCAATTCCAGTGCAGAATTGTTCACCTCATCTGTCACTGATACCTTCCAGTTAGTATATAACAGTATAAGTATATAAAGGTAACTTAAAGAAAAAAAAAAATTAATCTTCTTTGCAACGTAAACTCAAGAAATAAGTAGTCTAGCCTCAATTATATACATTAGAATATTTTTGCTTAGGACATGCCCAAGCCCTTAATTCTGCAGCCTAGCAATTACCATTATCCAATAATCACAAGTGCAAGAATGAAGACTGCACTGCGTCTAACGTATCTTTAAAATTAGTGTAGTCTATTTCTTTTTTCCTCATGGTGTCACTATAGGATAAAGTTAATGTTCTTTGGGTATTCTCTATACTGGAGCATATTTCCATTTTCTTTGTCTCGCTCTGACTTTCTGGGGTTTCTATTACATGTTTAGAAAAGATGGTAACAAATATACTGTCTTCAAATTTGGACATGTTCTCTCAAGCATTGACCCATCCTTAACATTGTGCGTGAATTTTTCATTTTGTTTTTTAAAAGGATTTATATTAGAATACATTTAACTTTGGATAAGGATCTGGAGAATTTGAGCAGTTCTTCTAATGACTTGAAGGTAGGAATCGCCATGTTTAAAAAAAATGACAAAAAGGTATGCATCTTACAATTAAGTGACCTGCTGACGTTAAATCTGTGATATACTTTCTATGTGTGAGGAAGAAGGCTAAGGCCCTCAGTTTCTATCTTTCACTTCCTTTATGCGGTTGTAAAATGTTTTGAATTGAGCTTTCTTGATTGATAGTAAAAGTAGTTTTCTTTTCCAAGCTCTTGGTTGCAAGAGTAGAGAGAGAAAGAGAGAATTTTGTTTCATTTACATACCGATAGCATTTTTATCTGTCTAGTTGTTGCCACTTTACCAGGACCCACATTCCCAAAGATACCTAGGTACCTGACTTCCACAGTGGAAAGGTGAAAGAGGTAGCCCTAGCGAATGCGTATATACGTTAAGCAGGACTGAAGAGAAATTTGCTTGCGGTATTGTACAAGAGCGGGAGCTGGGCACAGGGGAGGAGGGTGCCGTCTGTCGCTCCTGCGTTTGGCGTGTACCCTTCCTGAAAGGCAAGGGGCACAGGCCGTTTCCCTGATTTCCCTTTTCTGCCTTCTGCCTCTCCAGCAGGACAGGGCTGTTGGCCTGGCCACATTTACGGCTGTCAAGGGTGAGTATGACTGTCTAGTCAGTGGGCTGGAAATCGTCCGCCAGTTCCGCTAGTTCTATGTCCTAGTGTGGGCTCTGGCTGCCCGTGAACCTTGCGTGCGTGTGTTGGTTAGCTGGGCTGGTGATCAGCCTCCGTCTAGCCTGGGTTTTGAGCTCAGGTGTGAAATTTAACTAGAGTCAGCGTATTCAAAGGTGGGCTTGATAGCAGTATGGTCAGTTTGCCGGTTTAGCAAAGAAGTTGGTTCACCTAAAGAAGTTACAGAGCACTAAACAGTTACAGATCTTTTCAGTAGAAGCCTGAGCATTAGCCTTCCTTGTGCTTTCCAGTGAGCTGAAAATGCTGTCAGTGTTTCCAGCAAATTGAGTCCTTTTTTTCTCCCACTCCCTTCAGCTGGTCTTTTTACATGAGATAACAGATATATCCCTCCTCTTAGATAAGTGCCAACATTTAAATATTGTCTCTAATCCTTATGTCATGTCTTTCACTTACATGCTTGTCACTGCCACGCAGCTCTTCCATAGAGTCAATTGTTCTTCGGGCTGGTAGTTTGGAGACTGTTGAAGTTACTATTTCTAGACTGTTGCCTTGATGACATCTTAGACATCATCCTCCAGTGAAGTGTGAAGTGGGACAGCTGAACAGCACACATTGAAAGAAATCTAGGGCAAAATTAAATGAGAGTTCTTCACATGGCACAAACTGCCTGTTCTAATCTAGAATGAAAGCTATAAACTCAGAGTTGGATGTGAAACTTTATTAGTTGTCTGGCATGCTGCTTGCTTTTCCAAAGGACTGATACAACCTTCTTCATAACCTGCTAATTCTCTTCCTAATGGCCATCATTTTATGGCCATGCCAGTTTTTGATGCTGAGATATTGGCTTCAAACTGCAAGGCGTGTGTAACACCGTGGTTCTGCGGGAGAAGCAGCCTCTTATAAACTTACTGGCGGAATACTTGAACCAGATACGCTGAGTGTCTCCTCCTGCCAGCTGTGAGCAGTAGCTCCTCTGGCTTTTAATAAACACCAGGCCAGGTTGGAGGAGTCACCATGTCCAGTCTGAAATGCAACATCTGCTTTAGGAAACCCTCCATAACACAGAATTTCCCCATTGTTTCCTTCGGAGTTTCTCCAGCCTTTAAGCCTTCTCCTGGCAGCAGCTTTTTTTACCTTGCATATTAGAGACCTCACTACCCAAATAATTCTCAAAATCCTTTGTCACTCACACTTACCTCGCTTTGATTCCAATTTCCTTACCTTCTTGTGTTAAACGCAATCTACTTCTGTATCATCCCTCTTCTTTTGCCCGTTCTCCACCCTCCTGCTGTTAGGCAGTTCTTGCAATGAACTCCTGGTTTTGCAACATCCAAATGCTCCAGTTTCTTCACGTACTCTCCTTGACTGCGTGTGTTTCCCTCTTACCTTGAGTAGAGGTCAATAATAGCAATTTTCCTTACTTTCTGATCTTTTGGAGGTGTCTGGCTTTTCTCCTACTGACTGTTGTCCTTACTGCCTACACACTTCTAGCATACTAGGAACTTGAATGGAAGGTAACCTTGACCAAAAAGGACTAAAGATCAAGTGGTAACTGCTTTGGGTTAGTGCAGGTTTGTAGAAGTCTCTTTGGATCTGAAGAAAGGAATGCTGAAGCACTGTCCCATACCAGAGGGGACCCCATGGACTTCTCTCCAACTGGCTTACTCTAGTATCAGCTAGTGAGGAAAATGTTTCCCTCTAAAATCCTGGGTTTCGGCAAACACAGAAGTGCCTTATGCCTGTTAATTCTTCTCTCTCCTTCCAGTTTCAATTCATGTCTGCTGTGGGGGCTCCAACTGTTCACTTCATCACTGTGTCCCAAAACTTTTCTCTTCACACTCATTCCCTGCTCCACCAGCCTTTCATCTGTCTCATCTTTCATCAGTCTTGCTAGCCATCCTCAGTCTCTTTTGCCCCAATTATCTCTCCCAAGCAAGTTCAGCTGCTTACTGTGCCACTTTACCTGCTTGATGTCTTTTTGATGAACCTAGAACAAATTCTTCCTGCAAGTTGCCAGTTCTTCCTGTTGTTTCACTCCTTTCCCTTACGTCTGCTTAGAGTTGTGCTGCAGCTCCTGTCTCATCCTTTCATTTTAGGGGTCACTCAGCTACATAAGCGGTGCCCCAGTTTTATAGCCTAAAAATCTGGTCACTTTGTAGTTTTGGTGCCTGAATGTGTTTTCACATAACTCCCTGTGTGAGTCTTTACGGTGTGCGATTAAATATGGGAAGTCTGGAGTTCAGCAGTGCACTGAAGAACCAGTTAATTAAGGACTTTAAAGTATGAAGTATTTACCATCCGTAAACAAAATCTGTATTCTAAACCAAAACTGTCTCCGCAGTAATGCCTGGGTTTGCGCGGGACAAGATCCAAAGCCCAGTGAAATCGGGGAGAGGGGAGGACCTTTCACTGATTTCAGTATCCTTTGGATCAGGCCCCTTGTGTCCTTTCGCAATGATAAAATGATGCACAAAGCACTGGGACTGTACAACTTCATTTTATTTTGTGTGCTTTTATAGGATATAAATAAATGACAAAATTACAAAATTTATAACTGGAAGCCCAAGCATATTTACATAAGTATTTGTTGCAGTGAGGCTACTATTTACTGTTCTCCTATACAATTGTCCTTTTGGTACCATATTTTTAGTGTTATTTTTTTTTTACTGTCAGTTGACTACGTACATATCAACAGTGAATAGGCAAAATATGTACAAGGATCTATTTTGTTCAAGTAAATTGAATACTGTATTAAAAGTATGTCATCACTCAGCGCTATGATGAGGTTTAACTAAACCATATACAATTATCAGGTTTAAACCAAGTTCAATTATCCATTTTTTTTTGGAATTTACCAACTGATGATTCTAACTGAAAACCTCAGCTGGATATGAAATAATAATTAAAAAAACATTAAGACAACCACACAATTTCTCAATATCTCTATAATGAACTTCAAAATGATTCACAATTTGCCTGGATAGAACAATATACGTTAAAATGTCATTCGTCTCCTATAGTGATATTTGTACTGTTATAATTTCAGTTCTACATAAATATACATCATGGTATTATACAAATACTCCACAGACATTAAAAAAATTAAAACACTTCAAAGAAAATGTAAGTAAATATTATTTAATCAAATATTAAGCAAATGCTTAACTATTTTGTTCCATGAAAACTTTTTTTATTACTTTGGAATTTTTTTCTCACTATTTTTATTTAGAAAATGTTTTGCAGTAGAATTTTATCAATACTCTTCCAAACAAGCTTTCCGTGACAGAAATCTTGATAGCAAAATCCATGGTTTTGACTTTTTTTTAGAACCACTGAGATGATTATTTTTTAAAAATACTAGTAGAATTCATGGCTATAGCAATATCGAACTGCATAAAATATATGTAGAATGACCATTCCACTTTCATTCCAGACTGATCACACGGAACATCCAGTGCACTGATGCTACAAGTCTTATAATTTTCATAATGCTGCAATAGCAGTGGTTTACTTAACTTTAAAATAAACAATATTTGTCATAATTAATCTGGCTTCCTTCCATAAATATTCATATGTTTTCCTATAGTACTTCTCTTCCATAAAAATATCTAATAAATGTTTTCTGTGCATTATTAATACCTTTTTCCAACCATTCATAAAACTCTGATCCTTAGTTACAATGCAAGAGGTTCCTATTCTGTAGAGGATCAAAGGACACCAACGATTACATATAAAACCAGCCCACACAGAAATCAGGGTGCCTAACTTCTTGTCACTTTAATGAGTTCTTTATTCAACACAGTAATTATGAATTAATTCAGTGGTTTCACAAATACTCTATTTATTAATTCTGGTTCTGTTTCAATTAAAAACTGCCAAGATTTAAATAAAAAACCAATCAAATATTCTACTTATAGGCAGCATTAGTGTTAGTTTAGAGACCTTTTTGTTTTTGTTTTTTAAAAAGTAGAATTCTAAAATAAGAAATCAAAGAAAGCACTGTGGCAGAGTCACAAGGGAGAACTGCGTGAAAAATAAGGTTTCTCACTCCTCTTGTGGACTGTGATTTTTAAAAGTCTTCATATAGTGTCATTCTTCTGTCAGTGCTGGAGGAAGAAGAACATCACCAGAAATGACTGTCAGCCTTTTTTGTTAGTTACAAGGCCACTCACACGGTGCAGTCTTCCTCGCTGCTGGATTGAAATGTTGCCATAAAGGAAAGGCTGTGCTGTGACTGCTTGGCGTGCAAGGCACAACAGGGAACGGGGGGGACAGTTTCGTATCAGAAAATGGTAGTTTCATACTTGGTATTAATGCCTCTTTTGGCTTCTTGTCCAGGTTCAACAATCCATGGTAGATTTGCAAGAGTCTTTTGTTCAGATGGATCTATCTGCTTTAAGACAAAAGCAAACACGCAGACGGGTTACCATCTCTGCGCACAGCGCTTCCAGTGCAAGTTTTTTCTTTAAACGAACAGAACGCAGAACAAATCCTGTATCGACAAAGTCCTACAGCAGCGCGCGCGGTGTTCTACGCGCCCGTGTACCCACGGCTGCCCTCTTTTTCCTCTTTAGATCAGAGCTGTGCCTACCCCCGAGCCACAGGGCGTCAGGGTTTGCTACAGCTGCGCTGGATCCTGAGAAGTCCTTTTGCTACTGAGGCGAAAGATGGCGTCAGGAAAAGTTCTTTAAAATTTTATGGATGAAGATTCTGTGGCAATGGATGACAAAGCGTACAGTCATACTTTTTTTCCCCTTCCTCTCATCCAGTATTTCAATATCACAGAGTATGGTTTTCACTTTATAGCCAGTAAATACAGTGTGTGGTCATTTTTCCCCTTTTCCTCCCAAATCACCCTGTGCCTGTATTCTCACTTGATTTAAAAGAGTTTTTGTAATTTTTTTAAAAGCTCTATCATAAAATAGTATTTCTCTGTCACCTATGCGGTTCAGGAGGGCACTTTAAAGACAATCAATACATTGGCCCCAAAGAGCTTACATTCTCAGGAATTTGAGATTCCACAGAAAATACTGAAACAATACATTGAATTGTAGTTTTGGAACAGGAGGATTTGTCGAGGGTAAAAAAAAAAAAAAAAAACCCAAACAAAAAGGGTAAGAAAAGAAGTTGCTTGGTGTGACAAGATCGTTGTAAATTGATTTGGATTTGTAATTTGATTCGGATACGTATGCAGTGATCGTGTACCAAACAAGTTTGGTGCACATTTTATTTCTCTCTACAAAATCAGTAAAGTCCGTGGGACCACACAGTTTTAGAGGTATACATTGGCTGTGATCCTCCGCACTTAAAAAAGCACGATACATTAGAATTAGACCGAATCAATTAAAGCTCTGCAATTACTATAGAAGACATATGGGCAACACTAGCCAAGCAACATCTCAAACTGGAGGAATCTGAAACGAGCAGTTGTCCCACACGGCTGCCCATGCTGCAGTGACACAACTACCGGCTGATGAGCAGAGGTGGCACGACTGACACACGGAGCATTTCTGACCCAACAGGTGTATTTATTTACATAGCTTCTACATATATCAGCTCTTAACTGTATAGCTGAATTTTGGGGTTTTTTGCATGCACCCTAGTTTCTACTTACCACTGACTTCCGAATACTAACACGTGGTTTGGGAATAGGCTTGGAGGGTTTATTTTCAAAGCTTTCTGGGAGGGTTGAAGAATGGCCCCCTTTTCGTGCTTGTAGTGCAAGCTGATAGGCCACCTCAAACGCTTGTCCTAGTGTAAGAATGATTTCGTAAGCTAAATTCTGGAACAAAACAAAAACAGTTAAAATTGGAGTGAGGTTGAATTATTGTCAGATACATGAAGTGGGGTAGTACTGTCTACAGAAGTGACTTGTAATGTAAATAAGAATCACATCGGTAACAACTTCCTAACTCTCTGCAATATTTACACCTGTCATTTGATTTCTCATTGATGAAAAAGAATCTACACGCAAGTTATTGTAGCTGAAAATAATAACTCCTAAAAACCTTGAAAACATTGTCTCACTACATGTGAAAACGGGAGCAGGTGAGTGTGTGTCATCTCCGTTTAGAACAAGTACGTTAACCCACCTCGCACACCTCCCCAGCTCACGCCGTATCCGCTGCTCTCCAGATCTGCCCCCATCTTGGGCTATTGCAGTATTTGATGTTCCACCTTCCTCTATTTCAGACCTCCTCAGCTGACCCATCCTCCTCCAGAGCCGGCAGCACCTTCCCTGGCCGTGCGCCTCGGGACGCTCCGTGCTGTGCCCGCACCAGGCGGCGCGGGAAGAGGACGCAGCGTCGGTGCGACGCTTCCAAAAGGACAAACAGCAAACGTCGAAAGCGTGTGCTCTGCTTCACGGACGCAGCGCACCTACGCACGCGTCGAAGCCAGTGCTCCGCTTCGGATGTGTGTTTCAAGTGCTGGGGAAACCTTCTTGTGGTTTTATTTTCTAGAAGTAAAAATGTTTGAGCTTGACCTGACACGTCACAATACTCTTCTAAGTGTGGGGGGTTAGCGCGTGTGACGAAAGAAGTCAGGCTCTTTAGACTAAGACCAGTTTGGTGGTATAACTAGAATACTTTAAGTCCTTATTGCCTATGTGGAAGAAAACCTGTTGAAAGGGTTATAAAACATGAATGAGAAACTGGAGGATTGGTATAAATATTTTTTCAGTACAGTTTTATAACAACTAAAAAGCAGCTGTGAGTTTCAAATTTGACCTTGCAAGTGAATTTCTATGGTAATTTTTTTTTCAGGTTTGTGGGTTTGTTTTGTAAGCTCCTACTAGAGCCTATTTCTAGGCTCCTAACTTTCCAATAATGTTTCAACTCCCTGCAGAGCAAATGCGAGCCTGCGGGCTTGCCTCCTCATGTCCTATGGTCTCCTAAGAATAATTCATAAATCTTTGATGTAATTCAGAAGTTACCCTCTCCTTCCTGAACCTCTGCAGCCCATAGTTGGAAGCACTCCTGCATTGCTTTGAAACTAGGTGATCCCTTAAAATTCCCACGCGTTTCTGATATAATTTTAAATGAGATATCTCTTTGGCTAGTCAAGTCGAACTGATGAGTTTGCAATAAGCCAGAAAGCAATGGAAGACACTTGGCGGTACGCTATCTGCTCTTCAATCGTTAAAACAGAGTTAAAAGGATAAGCATTTTATTTCACGCCATAGACTACAGTTTCACTGTAGTCATGAAGAAATTCCATCCCTTTGTTATCACGCATGTATACCGAGATCATATAGGCTAAATTCAGCATATTTCGCTCATTGTAAGAGCTTCTTACAAAGGTGCCAGCTCTGGTCCCTGTTAGGTCAGACAGAAAACAATTATACTCCTCCACTGGGATATGCTCTCAGCTGTTATCACTGCAGTCACAACAGCAAGCTAGCCAAAGTTTCATAGCTTCCCAAATAAAAATGTCTTCCTGATTTGATAGCAGTAGGCTCCAAATTGTCTCCCTTTTAGCTTAAGGAAACTGGCCAGGACGGAGAAACACTGAGTAATAAATGAATGACTAAAGAGACTATAATAAAGTGCCCTGCCTTTCAGCTATGGAATTAAGACCAACAGAGTATAATTGTTAAAAATGTACAGAATAATATTATTTGAAATGGAGCACGCCTATTAGCAGGACGAGAATATTATTCTAAAGACCTCTTCATAAACTGTAGTGACAGTAAGACAGCGTGCTAGATCATCACGGGGTTGTCTACAGTGGATATTATTATCGCTAAGGAATACATCAACAGGACAGGGTGTAGTAATGGCCTAGAGAAAAAGCAGAGTGTAGTACTAGCGAGACTGAGGGAAACGTGCCATCCAGTGTGGCATGCAAAAAGGTCACTGAGAGACAGGCCTGAAAAGCTCTGAGACAAGAGTGGCGACAGGCAGAGAGTTTGCCACGCAGAGATATAGATCTAGTCTGGGTCCTGCATCTCGTTAGAAGCCGCTATGATTTGTTTTCTTTTGTAGTTTGTAAAATGAAAAAAATAGGCCTGCCTGAAAGCCATTGGAAACGTGCAACTGTTTCTATGGCTAATAAATATTTGAAATATAGCAAATAGAACATTCTCTGTTCTGTTCAATAGTCGAGATGTAAACCGAACAGTAACTTGTACACACATTTCATACATTGTGTACTGCGATAGAGCCTTGACGAAGAGAAGTCTGCAAATGGAGGCAAGGAGGGCTTTAAATTGCACCTTGTAAAATTTAAAAAAGCTATCTGCAAAATTGTATTTGGAAAAAAAACACCCCACCTTCAGAACTAAGTAAGTTTGGTTTGAGGAATTTCCTACCTGTAGTATTGGGAGAGGAAGATGAGGATTAGAGTTGGTACGGACTCTTGCAGAGGCTATACGGGAGAGGTAAGAGCAGGATTCCCTTGGGGATGGGGGTGGAAAACCAAACCATGAAATCCATCGTGGAAATTCTTCTGAGGGAGTGAGGAGACACTTCTTTGAATTTTTTTTTTAACATGTGGCGCAAAGGGAAGGAAGCAGGTCTGCATCCCTGAAAGATGCTTAACACAAAAGTTGCAGACCCCCTGGTCACCGTAGAAGACGTCAACCCTTACAGCTCGCCACCAAGCTCCTGGGAAAAGAGGCAGAACTTTTAGGACCGTGGTGCTTCTGAGGCTGCTACAATCCCGTTCCTTGCTCAGCACAGCAGAGAAGGAGAGTGAGTAAGCTAACGCCTTTAAGCAACAATTTCTGGGAGATGAGAAATTGAGGTCAGTTGCCTTGTTTGCCACGTAAAGGTACAATTCAATGCCCTAGTGCAACTCTGAGTCAGAATTCTTCAGCCACTTTAATTCACCCAACCTATTACAATGGCTAATTGTTCTGTTATATGTTAACTGACTTTTTAACTGTGTAAGTTGCAGCAGATACTGCTTCTTCACTGTGTTTTCATGCTTCTATAAAGCCATGTTGAAGATTCAGTAATATTTTTAAGAGAAAGAGTAAGATTTCTGGTTTTTGAGCTATAAAAAGGTAAAACGTCACTTGCAAAGTAATTTTTGGAAAAACTAACATTTTGCCTTTTTGGGAAAACACTTATGATATAATGAGGATTTTACGGGGTTTTGCTTTTAGGTGATGATTTTTTTTTCTCCTCTTTAAGATCAATGTCAAATCTGGTCTTTTTTGAAGACTGAATTTACTGAAGAAGCTTCCTTTGGAGTCCCACATATGATGAGTGTGAGCTACCCATCATATTGGATGTGTAGGAATGGCAATTAGGACACCCTGTACTCAAGGTACCAAACTTAAAATCACAGTTGGCAAAATCAAACAGAACAGAGTATATTGAATCTTTACTTGAAAAATCTCAACCCAGTTCGAAATGTCCATCCCCTGGGATGAAATCAGTCATACTAGAGTCTTCAAGGCCAAATGTTGAAGATTTCTACTATAAAAACCGGACAAAAAGAGAAGGTTACTCACTAGTAATGGGAGTTTTCAGAGATGCAGAGCCGACAGACATGTACAATTACACTGTTAAGCGTACATACGCTTTATCCCTCCAGACCACAAAACTTTTACTTCTGAGGGGATCTGGAAAGGACATGCATTTGTGCTCTCCAATGTGCCAGCCTTTGTGCATTCAAAGGGAAGAAAGCTCGGCTTGCCAAGGATGGTATGATGGGACTGACATGGCTGCATTTGCTTGTAACAGCTGTGGACTCCTGGGCTGCATGAGGCTTTCGTGACTCCTGCAGCTTAAATTCTTGATCCTTTCTCATTTTGGATTTAAAGCAGTCGTGGATGGCAAACCCTTCTGAATACATCCCCCTCTTCCAGCGTGGCACAGAAAGATACCTTGTACACAATGGGAGGATAGAAATAAGCCTTCAAAGGGGGCCTTTCAGGCTGTTGCAAAAGCCATCGATGTAGATGAGAGAGGAGAGCTTCATCTGCTCATGAGCTGAAAGCTCCTTGTACCTAAGCATGTTCCATCTCAAGAAGTTTGCCAGGAGCAACTGAAACAGTTTTACACTTTCCCTCCTAATATGCCCCAGAGGGGACTGCCTGGGCATGCTGTCTCCAGGCACTGCAAAGGAAAGAAGTTTTCTGTTCTGGAGATACAGTGATGCCACACTGATTGTACTTAGATGATCACATGAACAGAGAAAAAAATTATAAAGTCCTCTAATCCCCTGGAAGAAGGTAATAAACAGAACTTGGAGATCTGAATGCATGCTTTTTCTTCTCTGCTAAGTATGCATACTAGCAGTTTCCAATTCTTATCCAGCTTAAGTCTGTGCAATGAAGGACAAAATAATACAGAAAAGAAGAAGAAAGTCTTTGTATTATGTAGAGCACCAGCCTAATCCTTGGCATGAGCAAGAGCAGAAATTGTTCCAATTTATGCCGGTTGTCTTCTACTCATAGGTGCATTGGGTAATGAAGGAATATCTGATGGAAATTACTTTAGATGCCTCTCATACAGGAACCAGAATTTGGTGTAGGAACTGTTATGATGGTTTGCTTCTCCAGAGTGAATCCTTCACTGGTAGTTTTAGGGCTGCTTTGTAAGTGAATGAGAGTGAAGTGGATTTCAAATATTTTGCAATAAATCCTTTTCTTCCCTCAAACCTTATCCCCTTCAATATTCTTCAATCAAGTCCGATGTTTTTCCAATTTTGATTATAGAATTTTAACTCTGAGAAGAGAAGTTACATGTACAGTCACTCCTAATAGTATCAGTAATGCTAGCAGACATGTCACTACACTCAAATGTTTTCCTGTCTGCAAAAAAATTGTACTTGCCTGCATTTCCCAAGGAACTGAAGGACCTAAGAGAGTGAATTTTTTTCATACCGTTGCATATATTGTATTAGCATAATATATACAATTTAAGATGCATTTTTTTACACCTTCTTGTGGATATCAACCATTTTAAGCCTTATTTTTCTTAACATGATTGGACTTGTAGCTATTGACAAATGGGTAGGACTGTTTCTATTAGCAAACTGGAAGTGTTAGGCTTTAAATAGAAAGTTTTATTTACTGTGTGCTTGTGTTCTGAATATCTAGCTATTTTTTATGCAGCTTATAATTGCATCAGAAATGCTAGATCCTGAGAAATAAAACAATACAAAAAGAGAATATTTGAGTAGGTAACACCCCACTGAGGGTTATGTTGCACGAGAAAACTAAGTTAAAGTTTCTGTATTGCTTAAAATAGCCATTTAAAGTGCTTGGGGTATTAAATGCTCCTCCTAAGGTACGGGAAGTGAGCAAAATGTTGTAATTATTCCTGGATCACTATTCTTTCCTTGCCAAGCAAGGAAAAAATGAATTTCATTTGCTATACCTGGGTCTATATTTGTGCTTGATTATTAAACCTATAAATGAAACTGCAGTACTCTGAAACCATTAAGAAGTATTTAAATGGATCAGGAGAAATAATAACCTCCCTCAATCAGTCTAATTTCAGCTGATTCACTTATCATTAAAATCTAAATAATGTAACATCTTGTTGACCATGGTTTATCTATTTTTTAACACAATTTTGAAGTTTTTTTCTACTTCCTGTGGACACTAAAATGTCAGCAGAGAAGTTAAACAACAAAACCCCTGAACCAAAAAGCTAAAATTCCTTTTACCTCCTGTACATTTTGTTATTTAAACTCTCCTACATACTATCATTCTGCAATGTTGACTATTTCCCCAGTCACAAATAAAATGTCTCAGTTCAGACATCTCTAATTTTTTTTAACTTATTTATATTAATGTAAGCATGTTTCAAGAATTCATACACATTATATACCATATTAAAATAGTTCTTCTTGAATGATTTTAAAGTTTTAATAGCACATGAAATTTCTCTTGTGCTTAACTCAAAGGGCGAGTACTCCTGAAAGTTTTGGAAAATAATCCCTCTTAGTCCTAAAAATTAGAGCCACTACTTATTTCACCAAATTTAGCTAAAACGGTATAACTGATTAATTGATATGTGTTCATGATTTCTTGAAACACTAGTAGTCTGTGCATCACCATCTGAGAAGCATAAATATAGGAAGAACTTCATAATTTTCCACCGAAATAGCGGGAGCTGTAAGGACTTTTGCTGAAATAACATTTTGGAGATTTTTAGGCAAGAAGATTGGAACAAGGAAGTAAGAATTAAAGCATTAATTCGCTATTTTCAAAATAAAGGCAATCTTTTTGAAAAGGTAAAGGTGCTTCTAAAATGAAACTTTCCCAAAATCCATATCTGCATTATTTAAGCTAAAACTCCCACTGACATGACAGAGAGAACAGAACAGAGGGGCCACCTAATAATAATACTAATCTGTTGACAGTTACAGGGGTAACCTCTCACACAGGAACCCAGAAAGGACAACGTTCTGCACAGATCTCTGATCACAGATGTTTCACATCTTTCGGATTCAGTGTGGTAGCCAAATATTCCTAGGACCTCTTGAGATGATAGGCAGTTAGCTACCTGTGTGGTCTCTTCTTTGTCAGATCTGTAAGTGTTTCAGTTCCCTGGCTAAAGTAAATACAAAACTTTTCATACGTTCTCTACACATTTGCAGAGGAAGCTTCTGTCTTCCAGTTTACTCGATATAATGTCAAAAAAGTCTAAACAATATTTAGAGAGATGTTTGAGTTATTGGGACTGATCCCGCTTAACACTGAAACACTAAAAGCCATGGAACAGCAGAGTAAGAAATCTGAAAAAAAAATCACTTACGCTGGTAACATCTGATCTCTGGTGCAAAAAGCAGCCTACAGCTGCTTCGTGGCGGTGGGACATGTCCAGGCTCAGAGACACAAGAAAGTGTCCAACCCTCTCACCCCTTGTTGGCTGGCACAGGACGGACCCGTAAGGGTAAAAACCAAAGGGCTGGACCACACGGGCAGCACAACATAGTCAAAAACGCAGGACGCGCTGCAAACTTAGTTTAAGCTAGTTCCTGAGGCTACCTCTTAGCAGGACTGAGCACTATATATAACGCACATTGCTCCAGTTCCGATTTGGTTATTTGGTGTGCGCTGAGATTTCAGACTGGGTGGCTAAGCTTGCTTGTTACAAACGTCTTGGAAGGCTATAGCTTAGGTTAGAAGGATTACATGTTAAGAACTGTATGAAAAGCTACTCGCTACGTTTATGGTTTACAGCTGGGATTACAGAGGTGAGTTATTTCAGATGGGACATGAGATCGTATCAAAGAAAATCTTTGCTCTTCTCCAGAAATGTTTTTACTATCCCATAGATTAGTCTTTTCATGTGGTAAATGAATGCTACCTTCCCACCATATCTCCTGAAAATGTTATAATAGAATTAAGGAACTATTACTATTAGACAGAACTATTAAACGAAGCATCTTCTATAAACTGACCACATCAAATGCAGTGAATACATGGCAGTAGTGGTGATTAGTCTTCAAGTCTTTAGTGATGTACGCAAATGTAGAAAGGTCTTCAGGGTCTTGTGCAGCACAGGAAATGTTACGGATTTCATGTTCAGCGATAATATTCTGTTTAAAAGAAAATATTTTCAATCAGTTTAGGAATTAAAGGTAAAAGAGCCATAAAAGATGTGGTCTTAGATTTGCATTTATGTTCATCTGCTGTGCTGAAGTATTTCAGAAGTTTTGTAATAAGAAGAGATTTAATATACCCCACGTGTGATCTTACACAGGTCATTGGAATTTTGACCCTCTCCAATGAGATCTAAAATTGCCACTAATCTGGTAGGGAACAATTGCATTCTAGAGTCTTCCCTATGAGTCCGCTCGGGTTTTGTACAGTTTATTCAGTATCCTATGACAAAGACATCTTTCTGTGCATACAGCTGTAAACACAGTTTCAAAGCACTATACGAGCATTTCAGGACGCTGCTGGTTTCCCGTGTCATGATCACTATGTGGCACTGTTTCAGTCTACTGATAGACAGGATCTAATGAAACCCAACAGACTCAGTATCGTTTTTTTTTTTTTGCATGTGCTGTTTGACAAATTTCAGCTATACTTTTTCAGGAGAAAAAACCCCACCAAACATCACCTATAATTGAAACCCTGCACTCTTGAAAAGCTTCTGCTTAGTAAAAATATAACTACGGGAGGATCTGGCAACTTTTCTCCTCTTACTGACAACAGCATCCTGTAAGAGAGATGTAGAAGAATTAAACCATTCATGCACCGAGCAACACTACTTGCAACAGCCAATGTAAGCTATAGCATACTATTGAGATAGAGGTGGGGCATGTCTGTCCGATGAAATAAAAAAAAGCTGTCTTAAAGCTTTGGAGAAAATTATGAATATTCATTACATAAATTGCTGATATGTAATTATTGTGTTCAGGCCAAAGGAACCATGAAGCCAGAGAAGAAGATACTGCAGAGTGGCTTATGATTAGGCCTTGCTTCAGCAACACACGCATTTCAAATGATTTATTTAAACAGAAGAATGAGTCATTGAATATGAATTTACTTAGCGGTTAGTTTATACGCTGTTCTGAATGGTGGCCCTGCTGGCTGTAGCTCTGGCTTTTCCACAAAACCCCAAAGTGAACAAGCCTGCTGCAGCATGACATCGCTATTGCACCACAGAACACATGACATCTGTAGCGTCCCAGTCCCTCGCAGAGCCACCCTTTGCTGCTGCCTCAGTGGCATCTGTTCAAGTTAAAACAATCTCTGAGCATCTCTGGTTTTCCCTCACACTTGTCTTTTCCTTCCCACCTCCTCTCCTCCCCCTCTTTTTTTTTTTTTTTGAAGAAAAGGAAATATATGCAACTAAGTCACTTAAGATGCTTTGCCATATCTTCTTTCATTTGCTAAGTGGCAACTTTCCCCCTTGCATGTAGGTGTCAAGTTTTTGAAAAGGCATATTAATATATCTAATGGAAGAAATCATGGCTTAGGAAAAATCTTAATAAAAAGCATTCCAAATTTCAAATTATGGAAAAACCAAGATAAGGAAACTGTTACTGAAGAAATGAAATAATCCTCTTAATCTTAAATTGTTGCAACTTACTTGATTATTTCTGTTTAATGCATTATTCATAAAAATGACAAAACCAGTACTTATGTTTCACTATATGCCAATTTATAATGACACGTATAATCTCTGCTTAACAATCATTGGCTTTTTATGTTACTTTAAGCATTTAATTTTCTTTGTTCTCAAATTAATAACTTTTACCCTCAATAAAGATTTTGATGAGCATTACAATTATACCAAACCCAGGGATTTAGATAGCCACAGATAAAGCTGTAATATACGGTCATTGATGCTGTATTGGCAACACTGTCATTTAAAAAGCAGAAAGAATTAAAGCTTGGAAGGTCTTAAAATCATGTGAAATCTTTATGCCAAATCATGAGCCACAAAGTAATCACCTGAAGTTACACAGTGTATGTGGAAAGAGCTCTGCTACGCTGAAACTGGTCCTAGGTGACCTGGGGCTGACCCAGGGCTTTGCACTTTAGGCAACACGCAGGGAGATTATTTTAATGTTTTAACTTTAAACCAAGTGAAGTTTGGAAACATATCCACATCAAGTTTGTTTTGAATAAAATGAGGTATACCTAAACTAAATCTTCTGGATGAAAATTAGTAGTGAAATTGAGCTTTTCCCTAGCTTCTAAAGGATATCCTCTGTGATCTCCTTTCAAAATTAAACATGTTTTCAGTACATGCATTTACTGTTTCCTAGAGTTGCTACTTCCAGCAGACCCATAGTCTTATCCTGTAGAAATTACAAGGCTATGAACCAGCTCGCCGTTCTGGGTACGCTCCTCAGGCATTGACGGACACTGTACGGTCGTCGTTCTAAAAATTGTCACTCCGTTTGGCAAGAGAAACCTCCAGCGCTTCTCAGAAAGCGGGGAAGCTGAAAATCGGTTCTGTTCTGCCAAGGAAATACCTTGGAGACATGAGGTTTTTTTGCTAAGCAGCCTTCCTTTTGCTCGCCTACTTTGTGTCAATCCCCCCTCCTGGCAGGAATCATCCAGAAGTTAGGGTTAGCTGTGACCCACGAGAAAATTCTGCGAGTCTGCTTTTTCCTAAGCAGCAATTTCTTTCTGGCCTCACTTGCAAAGAGATGGTGTCATGTCAAAGTGGTGTCATGCCAAGCTTCAAGGCGCCACTGAAATAGCTGTCGTGGAATGAGGTCAGGGCCCCTTTGTCACCTGAAGCTTTGCCTGCTACGACTCGGAATACAAATTCTTAGCTTGGTGGCATAAAGGAAAAGGATGAACAGTCATGAGAGCCGAGTTTTGAAGCACATAACTGCTAGCTATTTTTGTCATTAAAAAGTATGCGTTTATTGCTAAGTGGTGCCCAGCGTTGTCAACTAGAAGCTCATATGGAAGCGGTACAAGTCTGAATAGGATCTCACCTTAGTGCTAATCTGTTTTGGGTCTTGAAGGAATTGGGTACAGCACACTGTGGACAAGGATGATAACAACGCTCCTGGGAGAGTTGCAGGCTATTACCTGGTTTTTACAGAAGGGAAAGGCAGTGCAGATTTTGAACTGAAGAGAAAGCAATCTACCACTTCAGAAAAAACACAGGACTGTGGCATCATTTACCTCCATTAAATACATCTATTGCACTACTAGGCATAAGATTTCAATGGGACCGGTCTAGAGCCGATGCAATTTCCCAAACTCCTTTCAAGTTTCCTTCTTACATAAGATTATATGCACTGTGCAAAGAGATACTGGAAGCTCCTTTTGTTCTGATTTTTTTTTTTTTTTTTTTTTTTGGTAAAGCTAAAGACATTGTAGTCACATCCTTTACAGTACAGAAGAGATTTAAGAGCCGAAACCAGCCTTATCCAAGTTGGAGTTAATAGCATTACAATGTTCTGATTTATGCCCTGCACATCAGAAAAGATAATGGAAATTAGGGTTGTAGAAGCTCAATTTTGAATCAATGGAAGAAAAAGGAGCTGACAGGAATCCCTGGCCTCTCTGCTCTGGCAAATATGCCAGGCTTGACATAACAGTAATTTCACCACTGTTTTTTCTTTCATGCCATTTCTAACCCTGGATACGGCTTCCAAACTCTAGCAGAAGTTTGCAAATCTGCTTTTGTTCCTTCACTTAAAACCCAGTTCCAGCTAAACACCTTTAAAAACTGACTGATTAGGCAAGTCTGACGGACACTGCGTTAGATGTATTGTGGGGTCTAAATGTTCAGCAACAGAAAGTAGTTGTATACATTATTAACCTGGTCAGGTAGCTGGGTTGTCAGATTTATTTTTTATGTTGCTTAGTGAGTTTTAGTCACATAACAGAAAAAATAATTCATTTTCTATTCATATGCAAGCATCAGTATGGACTGTGTTTTCTTGCCATTTTTGACATCCGAAGAAGAGAAATTCATGCATTGTTTTACTCCTGCTTACAGAGTTCGTACATTTTACTTTGGCTAAGCAATAACCCATTGCTCTATCCATCATTGAATTCTCTGATCTTTCAATTTCTGCTTTTTTTTTTTTTAAATGTTGAATGTATTTAAAATGTAAGAAACAAAGCACAGGGGCATTGCCACACAGGAAGATGAAAAAAATATGGAATAACAACTGTTAAGAAGCTGCTGCAGTTCAGAGAGTCAAATGGGTAGTACCAGGAAAACAGCTCTCAGAGAGGCTCTGACATTTGAAAAGGACATTCAAGGCTCATGTTTCTTAGTCTTACAATGGCTGGCCCTGCATAAAACCTTGCATCTTTATTGTTCATTGAGATAACTTTATATTTTTTTTGCCAAAATTATACTAATGAACAAATATATATATATATTCTGCATATTTAAAGAACTGTATAGGGAAGAATATGGTAAAGGATTCCACAGAAGCTCCCTGCCAAATGTCTTTCGTGATAAGCTTGCTTTTTAATGGTAGAAGGTTGGACACAATGTTCTCCAAAGGAGCCATTAAAGCTGCTTCACTTGTCCTCTAGATTGAGTTTCTGGAGAACAACAAAACGAGTACATCCATTTTTGAGAGAAGAGAGAAAAAGAGAGGAAATCACAAAGTGCAACTCTGTCCTCCTCTCTGGCCTGGTGCTCTTACAGAGTAAGCCTCATAGGTATCCCTATTTGTGAGAAATAAAAGCTAATATTGAACAATTGCACATACCTTATTTGTTGCATCAATAAATTTGACTCCCTTGTAAGAGACAGACAGGACAATGGTTGGTACTTTCTTCATTTGTTCTGTAGACTTCTGAAACCAAAATGAAGATGTTGTTAGTGTTGTGTTGCATTGCAAGAGCAGTGCTCTTTCTCTTCTTCTGACAAAATACGTAAGTTAAACAACAGGTACTTATCTAAATATTTTACTTTTTCTTGAGCTGACTATGCTCTGGGCTTTTGAAATAGCCGCCTTGTAGTTACAAAACTAAAAAGAGCTTTACAGGTGGCTGTGAGAACAGTAAAAATTCCCCTTTCTCCTAGCACAATGGAAAGAGAATGAAATAAATTTGTCAGGCTTAAAAAAGACCAGTCATGCGATCAAAGACTTCCCAAAACGTGCCCCATTCATTGCTGCCTCCCCTCCTCCTGCCCTTCCCAGCTGTAAAAGCCAACAGTAGTACTGTTTCTTTGCTGCAATTAGCTGTTATTTAGAAATACCTCACTCCCTTGCCTTGTTGCAGTTGTATTTGTGACAAGAGCTATCCCTGCAGCCCTCCAGGCCTGCCAGTCAATCTGTCAGTCCAACGTCGTATCTTGTCACGTCTGACCGTCTGCACTTCCTCGAGTGCAGCTGCTACTGGAAGCTGCTTTACACATGAATTAGCACGGAGGCTTATTCTGCATTCCCTCAGTGCCAGGTTCGCCTACCTGCAGTTCATGTCTTCTTATAAGGCTATTTTTTTCTTTTATGCTAGTCTACTTCCGTGTGCCTTCAACCTGAAGCACACGGCAATATTTCCTGCCAAACAGACTGGGCAAATATCTGCGATAGATTTAAGTTCTCTGCAGAAAACCTGTTGATTAGTTTACAGATTAAATTTACTAAAAAACCAAAAAACAAACAAACAAACAAAAAGGCGTAATAGTTTATAGCTGATTTGAATTCTTTTAGGGTGGAAGACAATGATGGACCAGACTATTCTGTACAAAACTACTGCAGATGAATAATGGAGATAAAGTTCAGAGAACACTCACTCATGGAGGTATCTGCAAACAATCATAGAGATCAAGCAAACATTTTCTTGAGAGGAAAAAGTTCAGCCTCAGTTAAGATGAAGAAATATCAGCAAATGGAATGAGAGTATAAACACATTGAAAGGTCTAGAATTGGCACCTAGAAAAATCATTAGAGCAGCTGAACAACAGTAGTAGTGGTGGTTCTGTATTCTTCAAGAACAATAAAATAGCACAGATACAAGCTTCAAAATACAGACTGCATTTGAAAAAAAAATCTGTCTGAAAAATAGGTGATGCTAACACTGGAGAGCAAAACAAACAAAAGCCGACAAGAAAAGAAAACATGTAATCAAGTCCCCTCATCAGATCTCCTTCCCTCCAGAATCAAATGAGACTCCATTTTTGCCAGCATAAAATTCAAGGCTACAGACCCAGCTATGTTCTACAATTAATGTCCCGCGCCGTGAGGGCTAAGACCTCTAATTAAAGTCTCAAGGAGAGCGCCACCCATCTGAGTAATGGTGAGGACTGTTGCTTCTCTCAGTACCAAATCACAAGAGACTGAAGATGACAATCAAGCGTCAATTTATCCTGGAGAAAGCTTCTTTCACCCAGAAGGTTAGGCACTTTTAAAAAAGGAAAGCTTAAATGGCAAAACATCCTGAAGGATCTAACAAAATCTGAAGGAAGATACTACTCTGATTTTCATGTCTCTGAACTGAGTGAGAACCAGTACTCCTGCCAAAAGCAGAGCAAGTACATACCTGTGCGTGCGTGCGTGCGTGTGTGTCTATAACAGATTTCAAACGGGTCTTTTCATAAAATTCCATTTCAATGCACAGAAAGCATGACAGCAACTGTACGGAAGCAGCAGTACATACATCTATCAGAAGAACAAGCAATATACCCCGCATACGCTCATATCTAGACAAAATATTCGCAAATATGACAACACCACTTTAATCATCTGGCAACCCAGCAATCATCCAACTTTTGTCCTTTCTTTCTATCCCGACAGCTACACGCAGGAGCTCTTTGTCTCCCATTTTGATTATTGTAATTATCTCCTTTCTCGCCTCCTTAGCAGCAAAATTCCTCTTCTCCTCCAACACGCTATACAAACACGGCTACTAAGTTAATTTATTTTAGCTTTTTGGTCTAATTTGCACTATCTTCCATTTGCCATAAAGGCAAAGCTTCCTGTTGGCAAGGCCACGTTGTACTAACCACCGGAGAGTCCTCTTTCATCTAGCCCAGTGGCTTGTAATATAATCATCTTCCTTATCTGCTCCACATTCACCTGGGTTTGACTAGAGCAGACCTGATCTTTAGTATTTAATCAAGGTCATGAACTGCCAGAAGACTGTATCTGAGTGAAATAGCTCATCAAAATACTATTAAATTATATCTGGCAAATTAGGAAATGAATCAGAGACTGATGGACATTTGTAATTTATAAAGCCAAACTGTCTCAGCTGGTAAGGAGCAGTGGATGCCCCTTATCGGCTTGCAAACCATACAAACCTCGGGATTTGTGCAAAGGTGTTCTGGAAGACTTAGTCCAGTGTAGAAACATAATTTTGGGAAACAATTCTGCACCCGTATCCCCATTGCAACAAACAGTTGGGCAGTGGAGTAACGTCCTTGGTTATTATGACAGTGCTATAATGAAAAACACACAGCTCTATTCCTCCCGCTCGATGCCCAGTGACAGAGAAACTGAAGTCCACCATATAATTACTATTTCCAGGCAGTTTCCAGACTTCCATAGCTCTGAGTTGTCATGGTGAGCTCATACTATTTGCTTGTTGTTCCTTTCCTTTTAACAGAGGAGGTGGCTGCCAGGATGTGTAACGCGAGTTTTCAGAGATACAGTATGAATAACATTCGCTCGGGCACTGTAACTGCTTTGGCTCTAAATTCTAGGATGTTGAGAAGAAGTCCCACAGCTTTCGTGGTCAGACATTTCACACCTCTGTGCAGGCCAAGTGGGCATCTCTGCCTGTGCCTGTGACCAGAATCCAAGAAGAAGGTGAGACTTAGGAGTCAGAATTCCCTTTCCTTGGTCTTTTCAGGTTCTAGCCACCGTATCAACCCTGTGAGGATACGATGCGAGGACAAAATATTCTTGTCCATCTGGTGCCTCTATGGGAAGCATATGGACCTGAGCCAAAGTTATAGGAGCCACAGCTGAAGGCTGGCATTGGATGTCATGTGCATGCTGACATATGGTCTGATGCTCCAAGGCACGTTCATACCATGGTAGCAGGATTAGATTTTATCTCATGTAGAAGCAATCATAGTGACAGGACCCTGTCTTTGGGCAAGTGCTCACTAGCCTGGAACTGGTCATAGTTCCTATGAACTCCATCATTTGTGACTGTAACTCTGGCTCCTGTTTTAATACACTTCTTTAGGAGAATCATCTGGATGAACAGCAAGCATATTCTAGGCTCGTTGCCACTGCCTGTTTCTGATCAGCTGGTCATTCGGATAAGGACAGATGTGCTAGCCCGGTCTCCTCAGGTGCACTGCTCCTGCAGTGAGGAGTCTCAATGCTGCAGAGTCTGCATGACGGAGAGACTGAGCTTTGCTCCCACTTCTGAAGTACCTCCTACGGCACAGGTCGATGCCTATGTAGAAGCAGGCTGTGTGTAACTCAAGAACCATAAAGCAGGCTTGACTGCAGACACAGGAAGATGTAAGAAAGCATCGCCGTCCTAAATCTAATGTGACATTTCTTCAGCTTCCCCAGACCCCCCAAAAGACATAGAGCCTCTTTTTCTTCAGAATGAAGACTACCAGGAAGAGCCTCTCCTGTATTTTGATGCAGCTGCTGCAACGAAGCTGCTTTATCCTTTCAGCACTCAGAATGGAGATCCGTCCAGTGGAAAGAGGTGGAAGGCATCTCTTACAAAACTGCCTAGTTATTACAGTGCTTGCTTTTACAATAAACGTCTGAATTTAAGACCTTTCTGAATTAGCATCTGAACTCACCGCTGCCATTATGCAGGACAGTGCCAGAACCCTGTATAGCCCTGGACAGGGCTGCTCCCAATTCCTCCTTTGGAAACTGGTCATAAAGGGGTGCAAGAGCAATGGTGCCAGAGAGTGAGAGAGTGAGAGCACAAGCTGCTTCTGATCTCGTTTGAGATCTCGTTTTCTTTAGTTTCACTGAAAAAAACACCATACAAGCAGACTCTAAACTGATTTCCATAATATAGGACTACATATTATCTTAAGTGAATAAAGCATTTCCACCTGTATTTTGATTTTAAGGCTGTGCAGAACTGCTAGACATTAATTTAGACTATAAACTAAACTCCAATTAATTTGAGACCCACCCAGCCAGTGTACCTAACAAATCAAGATAATAAATGACAGCGTAAGAGCCATAGGACTCTAGGAATAAAGCAAAATAAACTGGTGGTTTACTTTGAAAAAGCCAATACATGCAAATACAAAACATATACTCTGAAGTACAAAACATATAACCTAAAGGGTCTTTAATCCTTTCTAGACAGGGTCATACTGCAATACCTTGTTCTGTGCTGAACTGAGAGCACTAAGCTAACACTTTTGAATACTCCTGCAGTGTACAAAACATGGTATCTCTGTGCACACACACACACACACACACACAACCGAGTAAGAAATTCAGGAGCACACGTAGAATAGTGTGTAAGATGCTCACACATTAACGTGACATACTGAAGCACATGGTGTAATGCAGCCCACTGTCATAATGCTTTCATCTCCTCTACTTATTTCCTGTCAAGAGGAAACGGGATACACTGGTACTTCTACTTTGCCATGCTGACCACTTTCATGTACTTCTCTATACATTTATAACTGGATTACTCAGCTTTCATACAGTGGCCAATATGAAACCACGTTCATTTTTTGGTTTACTGCATATGTAATTATACTCGATCTTGCAAATACACAGTAAAATTACATTATTCAGCTATGCCAAGCCACTAACAATTCCATACATAAATTCTGAGTACAAGTTTACGAGCCTGTAAAATCTTAAGATTCCATCTTGGCTTTTTACTTTTGCAAATTAATCTGCTAATTCTGTCTTATACTGTGTTTTAATAGCTACCTGAAGACTGTAGCTGGCGATTTTGCTATTCAGTTACATACTGGAATCCACTTCACTAAAAGAATCTGAACATTTTCCCATACTGGTAGCAACTATTAATTCCAAATGGCATCCAAGTGCACTTTCCAAAATATGTATTGGTACCACCTACTATCATACCCTTAAGCCTGTTACTTACTTAAGGCTCATGAATCCTCATTAAACAGTTCCTTTTGAGTGAATCCCTTTGACAATTATCACGCATGAGATGAAATTGAAATAAAAAGTCAAAATTCACATTTGACCAGTTAGTTTTGAAGCCAATTTTGAAACTAGACTCTGCCTTGTAACAAATATTTACTAACTTCTCCCAGTCCAAAAGGCTAAAAAATGCATCACTGACATAATTTAATACCCCTTGGAATAAGATAGCATCTGTAATCCCTGTGGTACAGGACTGTTTACTTCTCTACAATTAGTGGATGCCTCCAAGCTACATCATTAATACGAACATTGCACTGGGGATGCACCTGCAACTCATCTACTTGAGAATGAGAGGTTTTTTGCTTTTGCGGTATCTGTACACACTCATCTGCTGCTGAAAGGGCAGTACATCCCTCCTGCACCTTGGATTCCTTTCAGCCACAGAGTTCAAGGACATACAATCCTCTGAAGAACGTGAGACGGCATGATGTGGATGTGCATAACGTCTGGACATATTTAAGACCTCCCACCACTTGTTTTTTGCCTTTTGAGTAATATCCATGTGCTTGTTCCACTGCAGGCCCTCCCAAAGCAGTGGACACGTGACAGAGACAGAGCTACAAGTCCAATGAGAAAAGAGACTGAAGAATCTAAATTCTCAAGTATGGTATTTGATCCTGACATGGCATTTGCCTGGCTAGTTTCACGAGGAGGCCTATGGAGGACACGTCTGTTTTTGGGGAAGAAATGAAATGGAGATTGAAAAGTAGAAAGGGATTAGCAGAAGCAAGGAGACTGCCATCTATATCCAGGTCCTCCTTCTTTATGTAAGAAGAAATCAGGAAGGAATGTGCCCAACCCTGCCTATTTTCAGTGAAAGAGTCAACTCTGTTTCATCTTCATCTACCTCTCCAGAGAGAAGAGAAGCAGATTTTTTAACAACTCCAAGTTTGCCATTTTGGTCTTAAATCAGCAAGATATTTAAACACCTGCATTGTGAATAGAATTATGTTGCTGGTTCCCCAGAAATTTGACTTGAAACGTAAGAACCTCTTTTCTAACAAGAAAACCTTTAAGAAAGATACATAATATTCAGGAAGGCGGCAGGATCAAAGAACAAAATCTAAGTTCCCTACTGCTGCAGAAAATACCTGATTGGTTCGGACTGTGTAATCAGTGTATGCAACATTAGTGATTTTACATTACAGCAAGGAAAGAGTCTACCTTGCTGCTGTGATCATGCCAGTAAGTATAAAACTGTCCCCTTCCTACCTGGTCAAGGAATTCAGGTGCGTAAAAGCCAGATGGAGTCTACTGTAGAGAACAAGTCTCTTCTTAGCTCCAATTAAACTTTATTCCTTTTCTTTATTTTGATGTAAACACATTCTATTCTTGCTTCGTGTTCCTATGGTGATTTGAAGTAAAGGCAGTAATCTGATTGAAAACACAACTTGCAATATTTCCTATTCCACACTGAGAAAGATGAAAGCTCTTAAGTTCTTGAAGGCATCTCTCAAATATAATTAATAAATCTATTCTGGCCAGGACAGCAAGATTTAATCTCCAAGTAGCAAAGGTCAGTTTACAGCAGGTGGGGAATGGAGATAAAGAGAGAGACAGTGCTGTTGACTGCAGAGGGAGTCTGCAAGAGAAAATAGCTGGAAACAAATAGAAAACCATAAAATATAAATCCATCCTTGGAACGCAAATATGTGAATGGAAAACTAAAGTATAATCCCTCTAATAGGCACCCTTCTTGCCAAATATCCAAAGTTTTGGATGGCTGCAAGAGTCTGCGATTTGGGTGGGAACAAAAAGCATGTATAACCTTGACCCCCGTGCTGAGCTCATTTATTGCATCTGCGTGATTTTCCCCAAATCCATCACCTGCCCTGCTGGAGCACACTGCTGCACAATGCTGAGAAGCACAGTGGATAGCCAAGAAGAGTTATTAAGACAGAGGTTCCCAGGTTTTTTCTTTGTTTGTTTGTTTTTACGTTATAGAAGAGTTAGGATCACCCTTCACTCTTAAGCTATAAGAGGAGGAGGCTGCTGTAAGCCTCTCTGCGGAGAGAGGCGAGGGATATCTGCATGACACTTCCCTCGACAACCAAAACCATCAATTGCAATAACTGAAAGCACAGGAAGCATCTACAACTAACAGGGAGGGATCTGCAGTCAGCAGACATGTCATTTTTGTTGTTTCTCTGTATCTATGAATGATTAAGGAAGATCAAGATACTTCTTTTTCACTGACAGGCTTCTTTCGTCCTTGTGCATCTGCTGACTGGAAGACATCCAGTGAATATCAACACTTTTCTGAGCAGTATTAGGTGAAAGACAGAGAAGCTAAAGCCACATATTGGTAGAAAATTTAGGCACCTAATTTTCATACATTCTCCTTAAAAGCCATTATGTGGCTGACTCAAGAACGATTAAAAAATTGCAGGGAAGGACCTCAACAAGATTATATGTGACACACTCCCCCCCAACATGTTTCAGATTGCAGCATGCTATGGATTTGAAATACATAAATGGAAAAAAACCCCAACATTTTGCTCTATCATGTTAGTACAACCCTATGTAAAAATCTCACTGACTCCAAAGACAGTGGACAAGTGGACAGAATTCAGTACCTGAGAAGCAGTCAAATAATATATCTAGCTTTTCACTTCTTTTTTTGTAAGTGAAATGTCCCTTTCAGTACATTTAAAGTAAAATGTAACTATAAAAGAAGCCACATTTTGAACGACTACCCAGTAGTACTTAAATACAATAATGAACATCACAGCAAAACTTCGGGATGACTTAGGACAACTTGGACTCCCAATTCATAGCCATCAGCTTTCAGAACACAACCAGAAGGAGAAAGTTTTGGAAAAAGACACATTTTTCTCACTGGGAAGCTTATGCTAAAATAATAATCTGCTCCCATTAAGTCAATGTTTTTTGCTTCTGACTTGAACAGGCATATGATTAAAAGGACTACATAGAAAGAATAGAGGAAATCCTGATTAAAAACTGTTTTATTCAAACCTCTTTGCAATAAAACCCCCTCAAAACAGAAAATAAATATTCTCACAGCACAATGGTTTCAAAAGAGAATGTAAAAAACAAATATATAGAAACCCAATCACTGTATTATACAAGTGCCCTGTATGGCATTATAGGCTACAAGTGCAACTCCATTATTTTTATAGAAAAATTGTATCTTAAATTAAACTTGTTTTCAAACACTTATTTTTTCCAGGTATATAGTTTAAATTTGCTAAATTTATTACTTAAATAAAAATCTTAAAATGGCTATAAATTATTTAGAGTGACTTTTTGATGTTAAGCTTCCTAGTTCAGTCAAATAACTTACTGAAGTTGTCATGTGCTACTATGGTGTCAAATTCTGCCCTAAGATCTGTGCAGGCATATGCCTAAAAAATCAAACTCCTAAGTCTGACAGTTTGAAAGCTGGATTGGAAGACGGTATGCTTGCAGCCTCAATTAATTCCCCAGAACACGTGTGTGTGACTGTAGACCCCTCTGTGTGAAGTTGCTGGGTGTTTTTTTTAGAGGTGTTTAAACCCAGGTAAGGAATGATTAGCATGTAATTAGCTGAAAAGCCACAGATCTTCAGGCAATCTAGTACGCATGAATTACTGCCAGCCCTTAGCTAAACCAGCTTGTACAAAAGTCTGTGTGCTGCAGATACGTAACCAATAGGAAATGGTTGTCTGATTGCATGAATTTTACACATCTTCTAGCTTTCTAATTGATCCGAATGCTACGTCTAGTGCTCAGAGGCATCTTGCATAAAAGGCTTATGGTCCACAGAATTAAGGATTGCACTTGTTCATCTATGTAATTTTACACCTTCGGTAGATCACCAAGCAATTATATTCTTTGTTAATTAATCATGCCAGACCATGATATATTTGTCATCTCTATGCACAGGTGTGTTCTTATTTCAACAACAATTGGGAATAAATCGTGTAGCTGGCCTGTGGCTTGTTATGAGCTTCCAGCAGCGGTACGTTTGTTGGAGATAGACTGAGCCTCATTGTAATTTTCTACAAACCAGTATCAGGCCAAAGAGCCACAGGAAAACACGTTCTTACCAGTTTGAAGGAAACCTAACTGCTTTTCCACCATCAGGTGAAACTGAATTAGTTCCCTTTTCATCCTTCAATGAATAAGCATGTAACTCCCTCATGATAAATGGGAATACTCATGTGAGTAAAGGCATCCACAGGATTATGTGACTGTAGGATTAGACCATATGTAAAAAACAACGGCTTAGGTAACACATTAATATATTTACGAGTACGTATTTTCACACAGTAAATTCACTCTATATTATTATATATGAGCTATAAATTCTGTTTATAAAAGCAAAGTGATATGGGCACATTTAAAGTGTCTGGAAAGTACTCGGAAACAAACTCGAAGATTCAAGAGAAAACAGAACGCATATATTTACTTTTTTTTCTTAGATACAAAATAAAATCTACCTTTAAATTTTGATATTACTTGAAACTAAGATAAAAGGTAGAACAGACTTCCTACTGAATGCCAATGTAAATGCAAGGGCAATGGAAAACAAATGGGTAACAGAACACTATAAAAGCAAAAAGGGCACAGTACAAGTAATCACTAGCTAATATTATTTAATATTATGATGACAGAAAAAGGAATAGGTTTACTAACTTACCCTCATCTTTGCACACGCATCCTGTGTTGACTCTGTGCCTCTTAACTCTTTTACCAGCATAGAACCTAAATACTGAAACAAAAAAAATTAAACTTCATGTAACTAAAATTCCAGAACAGACAAACATCTGCAGAAATGCACTAAAGATGCCTAAAAAACCTGACAGTGGTAGCAGACAACTTCCTAGTTTGTGGTTTTAGAGTTTTTTTACTCTGCAGTTCTCTGATAGATCATTTAAAAGAGTGTTAATCAACCTATGAAATGGGATGCACAGGAACAAGTGTATTCAATCAGACAGAGCCCTTTGAAATGGTATCGGAAAGTCTTCCAGCTTATCACCTTAGTCACTCAAACAAGCAAATACTACAGATTCCGTCTTAAAAATACCATTTGATTAAAAAATGGAGAATCTGCTTTTTTTAGCTGCAATCTGCCAAACTCATATTGCTATGTGTGCAATCACATGGATGTAAAGGGCAGCAGAGATGTTAACCTCCGTGTACTCAATCTGTAACTAATTTATGTGCAAATAGCAGAGACCAATGTCAGCAAACAGAGAAAATAAATCTGAACTGAAAACTAGTTTAAACCATTATTTCTTCCTAAGAAAAGACTGACCCTGAACTATTATCTCGAAGCCTTTACTGATCAGAAGGAGGGCTGGGTGAGAGGAAGCACCAGGGTGCTGGCGGTGTATCCCGGCTCAGCTCGCTGAAAGCCACCGTGCTCTCAGAGGAGCCTGCTCATCTCCGAGGGTACAAAAGGCAGCGAGCGCCTCGCTGGCACGTCCCCTTTCCTACCTGCCTTTTCCTCACCCCAGTCACTCGCTGGCATGTGAAGTTTGAGCCCTCCTGCACCCTGACAGCAGGCTCTGGATTTGTTCCTCTGGGGACTCCAGTACCTCTCCACAACAAGTGTGAATGGCGCTGCTCCTCCAGGGATGGAGCTGGCTGCATCATCCTTGCCCTTCTCGCCTAGCAGAGACCTAGGGGTCCTGTTACTGCTAACAGGGCTGTGTGGGAGCCACACTCTGCCTCTACATGCTACACGCGTGTGCGCTTGTGGATGTGCACGTGTTCGTATAGGCCTGTGTGCACAGGATCTTTCTGTATTTCTATATAGAGTCACACGCAAGTCTGGCTTAACAGGGGAAAGAGGACAGCAAGCCACCCCTCGTCTCCTGCTCCCCAGGCACAGAGATGTCTTTGCATTCTCACTGCAGTGCAATGTCATGGCTTCTCTTAAGTCTTCAGTCCTATGTGAACATCACAGGAGCTGATGTCATGCCGCTGGTGAGAATGGGGCAGGTGAGCTCCAGGAGGAGAGAAAGCGCTGTGGGTGGGAGCCTCTTCCCAGAGGGTGCTGCAGCCCATCACCACTGCCTGACCTTTTTCATTCTACCACACTGACTCCCCTTGGAAACAGTCTATGCTGACCCAACCAGATAGTGAACCAGCTTCATCTTAAACAAGAACCTATCAAAAATAACTTCAGTTACAGCTGAACACAAGCTGGAACTGAACAGAAAGCATACTGGTTCAATTCTCTGGTCTCCTGACCTAAACTGAGATATTTTCTTTAAAGCCTTCAGTTCACACTGTGTACTGCAGGAGTCTCTGACCTGCAAGAAAATGCATAAATATTTAAATGTAGACAGTAGCCAACGTGGTAATTAGTGAGAAACACTTTACAGGGCATTATAAATGGAAGGGTGAGCAACACCAACACTACCAGATAAGCACAAGCAGAAAGGAACGAATGAAGGGCATGCCTGGAGGACTGCAGATGTGAAAGATTCATAAACCAAGCAGCTGCAAGTCCAGCTGGGGGCTTGATGGTGACATGAATAGGGCTTTGGGCATTAATTTGATGGGATGGCTTGATATCGCCCTTGCAGAAGAACAACAAATTTAAAGCAAGCTCTGAAATTAGAAAATTAAACCAAAGTGTATTGAGTTGAACAGTATCTTTCTCTGGATCCTGCTGTCTGACACCTTTGGTATTCTTAGCCTTCTCTGGGAAAGATGTAATTAATTGCTTCAATTTCTTAATTTTATTATTGTTTTACAGACTACAGCATAACAAGTTAGTATTTCCTTGAAAGCTATCAGTTGGTCAGGCATCAGGGAAAAAAAGCAGTGCTTTTGAGCTCATGGCAGAACAAGAGGAAGACAGCGAAGAGATATGCAGCTCCTGTTCCACCTGCACAGCAGCAAAATGCCTCAGCTGCAGGCACTCAGAAATGCTTCCAAGGGTGAACTGTGGAATAGACAAACAAATCACAGAGGTACTGTCCAATTTAATTGCCAGAAAAATCTGAAATTCTAGGAAGGAATTTTGCTTTCCTTTTTGACTTGCTGTACTTTTGGAAATGTTCCTTCTCAAAGACCCAGAGCATGCGGGAGCAACACAGACGACATCCAACAGTTCAACTGAGTGGTGCGGCACACAACGAAAGCTGCCCCTGTTATAACTTCCAAGCCAGGGTTTTACTCCATAAGGCTGAGGTCATTACAGCTCAGGGAGCTGAGACAGTGCAGTGACACACAATCCTTAGGAAAGGAAAATATTTCCTTAATCAACAATAACTTGGATATTTTGATTTGGTGATTCCTTAATCACCACTAACTTGGATATTCCTGGTCATCCCGACTGCACTTCAACGATCCACATGCCTTCCAATCTACTACAAAGGTTACATGTGATTATGAATTTACTGCTGGATCAAGTACTGAGATGAGGCACTCTTGAGATAAACCTGTTCATTTTACTGAAAACTATGAAAAATATTTAAAGAACCAGAAATCACTAAGCTTCCTTTTCAATTTGAGGTGCTGCATAAGAGGAGAGCAAGACTGAGATCAGGCGAGCTGGACCTTGACCACGACTTGCTGAGGAAGGCAGAGGTTCTAGTTCCTGTTCAGGGACAATCACTGCATTCATGGCAATTTCTACCCCATGAAGGTCTGATGGAAGATACAGACGTGCTCCAGCGAGACAGGCCTGTAACACCCCTTCTGTCCCTCCTCAGTGGGAGCCAGGCTCTGTCCCACCTGCACTTAGTCTCTAATTCCTGCCTTTTCGGATCTGCTTTAAGTCAGGTCCCGCAGCCCCCAACTCGCCCCCCAAATGCTCCAGTGTTTGGTGAACAGAGCATTATTCTAAAAAAGCACTAAGGATCCAAGCTTCTTCAGGTGAAGAGGATCTAAACCCCATGTCCTGGACAAGTGGTTAACCCCCAGCTAGTATGCTAAATGCACTACAACTACTGAGCCCCTTTCCTTTGTAAAATAAATCAGCCTTGCTTTATCAGGTGGCCAGTTCTGATGAGGACACAGTGGTCTGGGAAGCACCTTCAGCAACTTTAACAGTGCTTTCCAGCAAAGTTGAAAGGAGAAATGTTTAAACAGGTGGGCTGAGGCACGTCTTCAGACCCCCAGAAGCACCGGCCCTTCCACCCTGTTGATGGTGAACTCAAGGTTTCAGAAAAGTGTTTTTCATTTAAAAAACAAAGTCTTCCAATATGACTTTCTGTACTTCAGGAAACCTTCCGTTCCTTCACAAGCATTTATAGCAGCCACAGAACACTAATCATCTTTAGCTGTAGAAGGAAGCTCCATTTCTCTAGGGATGGGAAGTGGGAATCTGCCACAGTTATTGGGAGGTATAAATACTCCCCGCTCTGAAGGAACTGACAGCTACTGGTACTTCAAGTAGTCATCAGTTTGGGAGAGGTTTGAATGTGTCCTTGTCCCATGGACAGAAAACATTTCTTCAGGACCCTGATCTTCACCTTCCCTAGCTCCCCTCCCCAAAACCAGGTGTATAAAATTCAGGCAAGGCAATACTTACTTTAACTACTGTTAACAGAGCATTAAGGGAGGCATGAGGATCCCATATGACATTGTATTATTCTTCCATAAGTACTAGACAGGGAGTTGTGATGGCTGAGAAGTAGGGGTGTTTTTCTCAGTATCGCTTCTACAATGCTTAGCCACTTATTCATAGTGTCATTTTTCTAACACTATTGCTACATGGACGGCAATATATCACAAAATTCAGAGCAAAAACTACTGTGCATCCTTGTTTCTCATTCATTACAATTACAGTGTTTCAGAGTAAGTGGCCTGTCTCATTAAAAGTGACTGAAAAAATATTATAAATGAAAAAAACTAAGTTTATAAAAAATCTAAGATTAATATATCTATCCCAAATCAAACCACTAAATTTGTCAACACTTACAAATGCTTTATAATCGCATGACTGGAAGATGAGTTTCTCTGGATGATGTTGCCAATATTGTACAGGCGTTGATGCTGTGGCTTCATTTGGAGGTCTCAGGGTAATTGAAGGCTCTCCCCAGTCTCCTGTCTGAAAATCACAGTTGTTCAAGATGTAAGAGAATTTGCAGGCAAATTCGCTATAAAATAGCCCTCCATTGTTGTGCTCAATTAACAATAATTTATTTTCTACACATAGACCCATGTTACTAAAATAAGGGAATACAACTCCTACAACATTTTTCATGATTTAATTTATAATCCAAAGTCATCTACTGTAGTGTTTAATGAGGCTTTAATTAAATCTATTTGCTTTGAGAATAAAATCATTAGGCACCGGAAATGTTCCTTAAAAATAACTGTTTACAATACATACATGAGGATAAGAGCACTCGAAAAAAAATCATGAGATGCACAAAAATGCCATTCACAAATTCCGCTATGTGTTTTACAAGCTTTTCTACACAGTTAATAAGTCTTCCATTATCTAGCATATATAACTGATAACTAACTTTCCTAAATGGCTAAAAACTGAGACTTTGCTTTGATCTGAAGACTTATACATTCTTCCAATATAGGAGGCCTTCTTTAATGTCTTTATGGATATTTATTTTGATCACCTTCTCTTGATGTCTCACTGTAGAGTTACTAACATTGCCCTTCCGGATCGATCATTCTCATTGATATAGGTGACTGCCTTCCTGAGCTGTCATCTCCCTTCTTCCCCAAAGCCCTCAGAGAACACAGGTAGGACTGCAGTTTGCTGCCAAATCCCTTCGCAGGACACTCTTCTCCCTTCCAAAAAGGCCCAACGCAGGCATTGGTACAGGAGTGCCCCCAGGATGGCAGTGCTGGTCTGGGTCTCACCCACCATTGTGTATTTTTGGACATGGCTTTATTGGACTGGGATTGACTGTGGGCCCTTGGGGGCTCCTTCCACCTTGCAGCCCCATGCAAAAAAAAATATTGCTTTGAGGTTATTTATTTTTTACCTGTGATCTCTCCTACTTTTGGTACACATGTGCCCACACTGCCCATGTCCTCAAAACCAGGGATGCTGCCAAACCAGCATCAGCTCACTTTAACTGAAAATGACCCGTGGATGGTGTCCTTCTCCTCCTCCCAAGCCCTCTTCCCTCTGCCATGAGCCCCACTTCACCCCTACTCTGTCTGGTCTGGTCTGTCTCTGAATTCCCCTTCTCCTTCCCACTCTGGCTTTTGGGGATCATATTTCTCCTTCCTGATTCTCCTTCCTCCCCTGCTGCTTCTCTCTGAAACTATTTTACCCTCTCCTATATGATTATTTCTATTTGGATTATGCTACTTCTTTCTTTACCTGCACGTATCTCTGTGTATTTTGTCATATTGTTAAAATATGTGTTGAAGCTGGCAAGGAATTGTCATCAGCATTTCACACAGAATATGGCTAGAAGTTAAGACTTTTAAAGCAAAAAGAAGTTAAGCATCAAAAACACATGAAAAAATTCTTACTGAAGACATTCAAAAGTCTGGCAAACTATCACATCCTACTAATTAAATCAGAACAGAGTAAACAAAACATGTACATCATTTTCATGTGTCACAAAATAATGAAATGACACACATTTGCACAACTCTGCAATGAAAAGCAAGAGATAAATCTGGAAACATCAACATTACCCTGCTGATATGGTAACTTCAAGCAAGTGAACATCATAAAACGAGTTGAATCTAGTTAATGTTGGCACAATTAGCACATCTACAAATTATACAGTATTGTAATTTCTGGTTTGCCTAGTTAAGTTGCCTACATGCTATGGATATGACTTCAACCTCAAATTTTGAAAGGAAAGCAGCAGCAATTGCTCCGTTTTTTGGCATTCTGTATCCACAAAAATGAATCCTTCCATCCACTAATGTATAAAAACCTTCATCATATTTAACCTGAAGAGGGAATATGATTTCTTTAAGCAGCAGTTCTCCTTATAAAATAAGGTTTCAATTATATTACAAGGGGTAAGGATCTGCATCCTTATTAGTGGAATTTGTATTTGACTACAAGAGAAGATGGATTGCACCCATCATAAATTCTCTTTCTTATGAGCTACTCAAGGCCATAGCTAACAGACCACTTGAAATAGTCCTTTCCCACCCCACCCCCCCCCTAATAAAGACACACTTCTGCATGTTCTGTGTAAGGAAGCAGATCTCAGAAGGTACATCCTATCCATTTAGCAAAAGGTTATTATGATGGGACAGGAGTAAATCCAGGATAGAGAAGCTATAAAAGTACATCTTTTGAGCATCGGCCTTTCCACTGAGGAAGCACTGGGACAGCCATGAGACAGGAGCAGAATTTCTATGGAATAAATGACCGTGGTTTGTTCTCCAAACCCTTCTGTTGCTCTGGTCTGCAGGTGACTTTCCTCACATATAGAAAATGGACAGTACTGACAAATTAAACAGGTTATATAAGGAGTAAAATGAGTACATCATTGTACAGTTTGACTCCCTTTTGCATGAAAGGTATTAAAAGCATGGAGAACTGCATTGTTTCTGTCTGTAAATGAAGGGCAGTAACACGAGGAACAGTGATTACCTCTCGTATTGGTTCAATTTTATAAAGGAGCTAGGAAGCAATAATCACAGGGCAATGAGAAATAATCTTCAACCAGGCTAATAAAACTAGTGTACGAGACACTTAGAGAGGGACTGTGTGGAGACCATTCAATTGTATCCGTTAATTGCTTTTAAATCAGACAAAACAGAATTGATAAGACTGCTGTACATGTCTCTAGGATGACCTAAACATGTGATACAGCTGTGGTTAAGGGCAGGCAGAGATACAGGGGTTCTGCTGTTCCTGACGGACCGCTGCACCAAATTAAATGTCGTAGATACAGATTATTATGATGGACAAAGAAGACATGTTATACCAGAATCACAAAATCTTCTTCTGCAACTGTATCTTAAGTGTCTTTTAATATTCAGCAGAAGTGGCTTCTGATCTCCTTTCCTTTTATTTCTTACCAAACTCCTTAGATTTTTAAACCATACTATTGCTAGTATTCATTACCTATTTAGACTGAGTTATAACAGGGTAGTCTCCAAAGCCCAGATCCATGAAGATGTTTAGAAGTGTAATTCCTATTACATATTCCCCATGCAATTTCCTTTTTTTTTTTTTTTAAAAAGGGAAGAAAGGCTTTTAAACAAGATTTAGACAGCTAAATACTCTCATAAATCTGGGCATTAAAAACCTCTACAGAAGAAGAGGAGCTCCTCAGCTGACTGACTCGAGTCAGACACTGGAATTCTGAGATTTAGGATGTGATGATGGCAATTAACTTCAGGCAAAATACAAAGTAGGAAGATCTTTGACCTAGAGAAGACTTGAAATGACAAGTCTGAAGTCTAGGGTAGAAAAATATGAATTACTAGTAGTTCTAAATCTGAGGAATTGGTGTGGAACAACTCACGGATGATGTATTGAGATTCAGGACCTTCATAAGCACCTAAAATTCTTTCAAGCTGTATAGAAATGTCCATAAATTGCCGAGCACGACCAACTATGATGTTTGATTTAATTTTTTAAAATAGATATGATAGGATAAGGATTTTCTGGTTTGAATATTTAATTTGCAATTATAAGAAATAATCAAACATTTAAGCTTATGTATTTTTTATGACACAATATACGTATGGAGATTTTTCTCTCTCTGATGAAGTAGAAAGGCAAGAGATAATTTATTCCTCATCTAACTTTACAGCTCATCAGACAGCTGTGCAATTTATCACGTGTTTTTTGCTGTACTGCCTGTGTTTTAGTATTCTAACCTCCCCGTGCCTTTAACCAGCGACTTTCCTCTCTCTGGCCTCAGTCACCTTGAGAAAGAAGATTTTTTGCTCCACGTTTTGCAGGTGAAGAATTTACAATCACAAAACAGTCTCAAATCAGGTGCCAGAGTGATAAAGCTTCAATCCTTTTACAGTGACAACTTTTAACTATAAAGGTCATAGCCTTAAAAACCAATTTCTCATGCTCTTGCAGTATTTCATAGCCCTGAAAATGGGTAGATCTGCACTACTCTGTGCTCTAGAAAGGGTCAGATGCTTGATGTCAAATGAACTACGGAAGCAGATTACTGCTATTAGGTAATATTTTTACAATTGTTGCACATTTTTCTATCTCATCCCATTCTCTGAGAACTGTATCTGACTCACATTAAAGGCACCTGGATGCAGAGGTAGTCACAGGTAAAAAGTAATGTCAATACAATGTCTATAAAATCTAGCACCTGCCTCATCTTTTTATAAAAATGTCAAGTTAAAAACCTGCCACACTACAGAAAAAAAATAATAAAAAAGGCCTGGTTTCGAGTGGCTTGAATGTATTCATTTTTAACAAGGACCACATCTTATAACTTTTCAACTGTTAAAGCCTCATGCTTGGTTATGGTAACATGCATTAGTCACCATGACAACAATAAATTGGAGCGCACATAGATACAACGCTTCTGGCTGAAAAATTAATAATTTTCTCCTTGTAAGAATTTTAAATGTTCTGTGGACCAGCCAAATCCTCATTATTTGCTTACGTTTTAATTCCTAAAGCGAGAGAAATTTTTTTAGCTCCTTATATCTTTGTCTTTTGAAATAATGGAAACAGGTTCGTGGCGTACTTACATTTTAAAAGCTTCTAAAGGTCGGTGGCCAAAACGGCCCCTCTCTGGCAGAAATGCTCCAAGGAGGCGGTTACATGACAGGAATTAGGAGAAATCTACAGCTCCCCTAAAATACCGTGCTGAACGACTGGCTGTCGTCCTTACCAGGCTGCGATACGGATCGCCAGGTTTGCTCTCACGTGCGCAGCACATGTGACTCCGTCACAGAAGCGATGAAAATTCAGAGCACCATCAACGTTACCTCTTAATTCCCCAAAAATGCCTCTGCAAACAACGGCGTGTTCCTCAGCTAGGCAAAGCCTATAGATTAACACAGAAAGGGCAGCACAACACACTGTGGGGGTGAAACTGTGCAAACCGAGCCGTTTACACGGTTTCTCGCTTTGGAAAAGTGAGCGAACGAAAACATCAGGAACAGAAGTCAAAGCTCCCCCCGAGCGAGACTGCTGCTGGCAATCCCCTCGCGTCCTGTATGTACACCATACAGCCAACAGATGCCAACCACACGGCACAATACACGGATGCGCGCACACATAATCCCCAAAGAGGGTGGACAAGTTACGAACTTTTTTTTTGTCATTTCAGCGACGTGACACCCGTAGATAACATCACGGCAACAGACTGTACATCCATAGAGTGACAACATAGCCATTTATCACTGTATCTTACATTATGAACCTGATGAATCGATGAGAAAGGATATCCTGCATTCTGGTTGGTCCAGATCTCACAGACAGAGGACTGCTAATATAAACAGAAAACTACATCTCATCTTGTAAATATTAATGCACCGCAACTGCCAAAAGGCAAGAATAATTAAGAAAAGGCTTGCAATAACATTGAAGAAGGAAATAAAACAGCTGTTAAAAGTAATTTTTTATTTATTTGCTGACAAAATATTTTCGGACTCACTGGAAGGAAGCATAGCTTATTCAGAGACTTTAGAAGAGGTTTCAAACTGTGAGTACAAGAAAACAATTTAGTCAGAAGTGCTGGTGATGTAAAGTGATAAAGTTATGCAGGCATAAACAGAAAATGCAGAGAGCAGAAGAAATATTGGTTACTTTCAGGTTTTGGCAGGGAAGAAGTTTGAAGTCAACATCCCAATTAAATTTTGAGATTTGAATCTCTCTCTGTTGGAGACTTTCACAGGGAGAGAGGAAGGGAAAAATCTGGCAATACAGTCAACAGGAAAAATACGTTTCTTTGTAACAATTACCAGAAAAGAATGCAATGCGATTAAGCGAAGCAGTTGCCCGCCATCTCCTTCCAACAACAGTTCCTTTGCATACAAAGATACAGATAATATTACCTTTGGTATTGACCACGACTCCGCTGTATAAATGAAAGGTTTTGGTCTACCTTCTACGTTATTTTACAAATAGTCTGTAGTAGCAAAGCAAAGTAAGCATAGTGTAGCATCTCTAGCAAAAGCAACAGAACTAGGCAAGCATAGCATTCACCAGCATCTTTTACATATTTCCTTGTTTGGACACTCATCAAGAAAGCATCTGTGACACCTCAGCAAAAGCTAAGATAACATTTTACAGTAGCCAAGCAACTAAAACAAAGCATCAGACGTAGGATCTGCCCACAGTATCTTCGGCAGGCAGCAACAAAAGGCAATAGACACGCATGAAAAATGCAATTGCAGCATCCAAAATAGATAGCAATTAATATATCAGTAATTTAACAACAGCAAGAATGTGCATTGCTGGTTCTTGTCAGCAGCAGCAGGAATTTAACACCGATGCTCAAAACAACTCAAAGAAGTGCAACTCTTCTTAGAAATATGCCTCTTGCTCTTACCTTTTGTAGCCTGAAACCCAGCTGCCTGGCTGGTGGCAGACTAGGTTATCACTTCTGGTTACTGTCAGGGGAGGCTGGCATCCTCTGGACTGACTACAGAGCGCTGCCAGACAGGCTGGTGGCTGCCTAATGTTGTTAAATTGTCCCTTATTTGCTTCATGATTTGAAATGCATGCGCACACATCCCTTCCCTCCACTTCAGTAATTCTTAAACTCTCATGTATCTGGTTAATTTCTTCTCCCCCATCTTGTTTTTGAAGTTATTTGCTTCTCCTTCGTGATGCGCAGGGCTCTATATTTTGACAGTATTAGGTAATAAAAACACTGACTCTGGTTCACAGTCTTCTACATCATCCTCTGCAACTTGTTACGAAGCAGTCCTCCTCCATGTGACAAACACGTACTCTCAGTGCAAGGCCAGTAGCAAACCCCGCTCCAGCTACTTCTGCTGTGCCATTTTTAGGACATTGCACTAGTTGGCACCGATGACCTTTTTTTTCTGTATGTCAAGCAAACTGACTTCTGGATGGTCCAGCCACACTCATCACTGTGATGCCTACATTTGTTTGCCTCGGGGGAATTCTGAATGGGAATTCATGGCAGGAGGCTGTGCCTCTGCTTTTCAAGAGAAGAGTAAAAGAAACAGCATTTCCATGCCGGGTGCAGCATCCCCAAGCATCTGGTAATTAAGAAAACATACTGCAGTGCTATTTGGACACACTTGCTGAGGTCCAGAAAGGAGTAAGGTAAGGCAGCATGGTACTGTGTGCTAGCAGATGTTTTATTTCTCCCTGGGGCTAGAGGTGCTGGCACGGGGTTACCGTGATGCCGTCATACCGTACAGCTGGTTCTCACCATCTTGGTATTCTGGAGAAAAAGGCGTATCCTTAAATCTGGCCCCTCCTGAGGACTTGCCTTTAGGGACCGGTGTGGTGCCTCGGCGGGATGAGCCGGGAGCTGGTGCCCGTCCCCGCACAGCAGAGGCGTGGGGGGCTCTCCCGGCAGCGCTGCCTCAGCTGCAGAGCGGCACGGCTGCTGCGCTGACACAGTGATGCTGCTATAGCGGCCCTACCGTGCTGCAGCATGGAAATGCATAAATACACCGGACACATCCATCGGCTGCTTTGCTACTAACTCAGCAACAGGTAACGCGACGCTGCAGTAAGCGTGTATGCAAGCTTTAAGTTGCACCATTTAAAAAAAAGGGCAGGGAAACAATCCTTTCTTACATATGCTGCTCCTCCCTCCCCAGCTCATCGTCTCCCTGACTTAAACTCACGGGTTAGCACACCCCCTCCAAGAGCTGGGAGCTCTCAATTTGGTGCCCTTCTCTGACTGGGGGTATTCACACCTATGTATTTCACCTTCCTCTTTCACAGGTTAAAGCAGCAGGAGATAGGCTGTCTTCAACTCCTTTCATAAATGAAGGGAAGCCCATCTTATTATTTTTAATTCTTTGGAGAAAGAAGAGTGCGTAAAAGCAGATGTTTGGAGCACTCACCTGTGAGAGACACTCTGGGTCCAGGTGTCTGCTCCAAGGACTGTTCAAGTGAACTGCCCCCATCACCCAGACTACCTTGGGAATTAAAGGTTTGGAAGATGTAGGATTAAGCTAAATCATCTTCAAATACAGGTGACTTGATTTATTAAATCAATAAATCAAGAGGACCAGCAGAGACTGAGAATCTCCCACGACTGTATGAATGCCCAGTCAGAAGGGCAGCAATGCAAAACTCATTACTCAGTTCTGCACTCGTTAATGTTTGAATGACTAAGATACTGAAATGCAGTACAGAAGGAACATTAATTTTATGGAAGGTAACGAATTCAAATTCAGAAACCACCCTTTTCCTTGCACCACTGTAAAAATATTTAGCATTTACTATATACATATTTTATGTCTTCAAAGTGCTGAAATTTTTAATGAATTATGAAATCCCCAGGAGAAGTACTTAAAGTTGCATACCCTTGTGCTAAAGAGGAAAGAACCAAGCAAAGGAAAAAGGTTAAGTGAGTATCTGAGGCCAGAAAATAGGCAGTAGGAGGGAGAATTGGGATTAGGCTTCAAACACTCATAATTTTCAGGTCCCAAAACATATGCCCTCAAAAAGAAGCAAAAGAATTCAATCTGTGCATGCACTTCCACCATAATAACTACAAATACACTTGGGCACTTAATACCACTGATGCAGAGGTTCTGTGAAAAAGAGAGTTTAACAAAGAAAATTTTCCTAAGTAATATGGTAAAGAAGAGCAAAAAAATAGCATCAGCTATTGCCTGATTAGTATCAAACATGCGCTTAGCTTATTCTTCCCAAAAGATAAATACGTACGAGTAACATTGCAACAAGAATCTGCTAACATGATACCACCTTTTTGTGATAGCTACAGATGTCCCATGTAGGAAAGATTTCCCCGTCTAGTCACCGTGGGACACAACTCTGATGGGCAGGAGGGGCAAAGGAAAGGAAAGAGAACGGCCAGCTCTGCGCCGCTCCTGCCATCTGCCACCCATGACACAGGTGACTGATTAATGGTGCGAGAGCAGGGGAGAGAGGTGAGGCTCCACGTTACCTGCTCTCCACTCATCCATCTCCCTTCCCAGCAATCCCAGTTCTGATATGGTCTCCTGATCATTTTACGACTGTCTTTTAAAAGAATTAAGGACATTTTCACTTCTCCTATTTATTTAACTTAACCTGCTTGCTTTCAAGAAAACACACTCACATAAGAAATAGTATTTCTTCTTCTCGCTAATTTCTGTGACAGAAGACCATAGGGCATAATCCAGACACCTATTGTAAAGTCAGTAGCAAATCATGTTACAAAGTGCTTGCACATTTCCCTCTGCTTCAAGTCTTTCTAATTACTCAGATATTTCCTGGAAAAGCTGTAGGACAGTACATATACGGGTCTTCAAGGTTGTGGGCTGTACTGGAGACAACTTAAGGGTTTCATAAGGTGAACAAAATTATCTAAGGAGAACTTACTTTAGGCTTCATCCCTACAGACAGGGAAGACTTGGTTGATAATGTCAAGACAGAAAACAACTGTACTGAAAGTGATCACAAACCAGTAAGATTGATCATGGAAATGATACACTTTCTAAGGAGAGGAAAGGAGGAAAGCAACAGAAAAGAATACCTGGACAACGTATGCAGAAGGAGCAGGAGCTGGGTGGAAGGCAGTCCTGATGTATTCAGCACATCTCATTGAACTTCACTTGATGGCACTTCAGGAAATGTCAAAGATTTACCTAAACTAGGAGCAATTATCCTCAGAAACTCATAGAAGATACTGAAAGGACCAAAGAAGGGCCAGAAGAATATTTAAGACAGGAGAGAAGGAAGATTCAGAAAGTTATAGCCAGCCTAACTGCAGGGACCTGCAAGTTACTAGAAATGTTTATAAATACAGTCACTATCCTCTGGTCCTCGTGGCCTATGAGACCTTTCGACATTGCTCCTGGCCACCTGCAATAAACACTTAGGAATACGTGTGTATATCTATGTATATATTACTGAGGATAACAAAGAAAAAGCATAATATTGCCTGCCATGTGTTTACCTGAGACAACTTCTATGGGCCATGAAAAGTTCAAGACGTTTATAATGAGGTTGTTCAGTATGAATCACCTCAGATCAAATTTCCTTCCTTTCTTGGAAAACTGGCTGACTAAATCAGCTGCTGCAAGGAGAAGCACAGCAAGACTTGGGCACTGACTGTGCCACTCCTGATGCGGCGACATGTGACGTGCCCCATACACAAACTAGCTTGAGTCAAAATGCAGTGGTTGCACAAGAAGTTGAAATGCACATTTAGAGAATAATTACTGGTATTTAAGCACAACTGGACTGGAACACGTCAAGGCAATCTGCAATTACCTGCTCCATGCAGTGGCTTGGAGGAGAGCTCAGGCTCTCTGGGGAAAA